TAACAATCATTCCAGTCAGAACACGGATTCTTTCTCATTTCTTCCTATTCTACCTGCCAGTGGTTATTAATCTAATAGCTTCTCAACTCATGTTTTTTAATGTTGGCATGCTTTGTTTTAAGGTCCATGAGATGGTTAATTTCCAGGTTAAAGTCCCTTTCAATAAACTTCTGTGGTAAAATGCCTAAGAATAAAAAGTCCAAGTAAATAGACCTTAATTTTAAGAGAGAGGTCTCGATGAGGCAGATGGAGAAAGAAAAATAATCTCTTAGTAGTTTGTGGGGGGAGGACATCAAGGTGACCCCTTTAAAACAACAAAAAATACCACACACAAAATTGGAGATCCCTTTGTAAGAATCTGATATGAGTGGATTCCTTGGAAATACGTTTTTTTCTCGCTGATAAGCTGTCGGGGGGGAGGGTGGATGTTGCAATGGGTAGAAAAAGTTGGATTCAGAAATGAACAAATCAGAATGAACTTAATACAATACAGTCCAAAGATGATACTAGCCTTCTGCAGGCATTTCTCCTTAGATAGAGAGATGTACGTTCTCTGAAATAGCTTCCTTTCTCTTTCTTTCCCCATTTAGGCTTGTATGTGGATTTGGGACGTATGAAAGGACTGCCCTGGAGACAAGTGCTGTGTTATCCAGAGAACAGGTACAGTGACAGGTGTACAAGGTACTCAGCACAGTGCCAGATCAGACCTTCAATGAGTAATGTTATGTCAACGCCGGTTAATATGAGGGTTGTCTTAACATGTGTCATGAAAGGTTACGTTGTTCACTGATTTTAAACTAATTTTACAGCCTCACTTTACGCACACATGTATGGTGCTTGCTGATTAATAAATTAGACACAAATTACATGTAAATCAATAGCGATCCCCAGTTGAGCCTGGTTGAAAAGGGGGGCTGCCAGCCTGTTTAATACCTGTATTAAATTGCTTGTTTAAAATGTATATAATGCCTTTTGTCTGGCAAAAAAAAATTTCCCTGGAACCTAACCACCCCCATTTACATTAATTCTTATGTGGAAATTGGATTCGCTTAACGTTGTTTCACTTAAAGTCGCATTTTTCAGGAACATAACTACAATGTTAAGTGAGGAGTTACTGTACTAAGGTGGCAGTTTTATCTGTGAAATGTTTGGGAGCAGACAGACAATTTGGGGCAGAAGAAAGCTTTGTAATTTCTCAAAACAAGTTAGCATTTGGTTGTAACCCCATTTTAAAAGGTGTTCCCTCCTCAGGCTGAGGACCTAGGGCAAAATCTTCTCCCTACTTCCCAGCATAGGCGCCAACTTCCTCTCTACCCAGGGGGTGCTCGACCCCTGCCCCCACTCCACCCAAACCACCACCACCGCCTCTTTCTGCCCCCTCCCTCAAGAGCCCCTCATCCCCTGCTCTTCCCCCTCCCTCCCAGCACCTCCTGCACATGGTAGAAAAGCTGATTGCGGCGGGCAGGAGGTGCTGGGATGGAGGACAAGGAGTTGATCAGCGGGGTCGCCGGTGAGCAAGAGGTGCTGGGGGGGTGAGGGGGAGCTTGGCTGCCGGTGAGTACTAAGCACCCACAAATTTTTTTTGTGGGTGCTCCAGCCCTGGCAGCATAGCTGGGCAATGGCTACTACTTCAGCCAAATGGCTGGAATAGTGACCCCTAAGCTACCCTTTGCAATGGGTCAGGACAAACATATTAATAAAGTGGAAGATCTCCGATCTTGCCAGTAAACAATCTGCACCCTCAGCACGTCATCACACAGAGAATCCTATAAAAGCTTCATTTCCCACCCCTCGCCGCCCCTGCACAGATAAGCCACACTGGTTCTGCTGCAAGATAGCGTGTCACACCACAGAAGAGAGAGCAGGATTTTACTCCATGACTGGGAAACCATCCATAGGCCATATAGGCCAGATCTTGAAGCCAACAGAACTACTTTGACTTGCACCAGCTCAGGATCTGACCCTATAGGTTATGCTGGTATAAGAGGGAAAGAACAGACTTGCACCAAAGCAATTTCTTTTAGATTTTAGGTGGAAGACTGCTTAGTGAAAACAGCTTTCAACTGGAAGGACATGGCTATCCCACTCAGACTGAGATCTTTGATAAATCAGTTTAAAACGAGGGACAAGGTAACCTACTTCTACCAATATAGACATTTTTGAAAGCTAATGTGAGTAATAAATGAAATTTGGGGATAAAAAAACATGCAAAAGTTATTTTGATGCATCTATGGTGATAAACAATGGGGCAACATGTATAATGCAATGTCTTTAATGCCCTGATTCAGCAAAGCACTTGAGCACATGCTTACCTTTGATTTCAGTGGCACTTAAGCACATCAACAGACAGGATCTGTAAATGCTTCTCTAAATAGGGATGGACTTGAACTCAAGCACATGCATAAGTGCTCTGCTGAATCAGGACCGATATCTGCAGTTATTTCACAGAATAACTATTGTTGTATTTTAAAAACTTAAACTGAAATATACCAGATTTACAGGTCAGAATGTTAGCACTGGTATCTTGGTTAGATTCTAACTTGGCTAGTTACATTCTTCCCTGGCAGTTTCAGTTGGATACAATATTCTTTGCTTGCTGTTCTAAATTACCGCATAGTGTTGCTGTATGCTGTTAAATAGTTGACATGCTTCACCCCAGAGATGGTTACATTTCAGTGACAGAACGATCAGTGGGCATTACCTAATGCTTCAGAGGAAAGTGAATTACCCTTATAATGGACCTATCCAATTATGCATACTGTATTATAATCATGATCACCATACTTAGCCCTTATGTAGTACTTTATATCTACTAAGTGCCTTACAAATGGGGAGAGGATGGAATTCCCTCCTGATCTTGGCAATGATCAGTTTGTGCCCTGAAGAATGAGATTTGGTTATTTTAGCTTGAAATAAGCTACAGACCAATGGTAACTTCATTCAGGAGTCAGGACCTGGGTGAAATGGCTTAAAACACAGAGCACATTGACAAAGTAGACCAAAAAAAGAGAGATTATTATTTATATTATTACCATATCTCCTTGTAGCAATCATTATGGACCATGACCCCGCTGTGCTAGATGCTGTACATACAAAGAACAAAACATGGTCCATGCCCACAAAGAGTTTACAATGTAAGCATGAGCCAACAGATGACAGACAGGAGTACAAGGAAACACTGAGACAATAAATTAGGCAGTGTTCTTGCTAGTGATGGGTTCAATGCACAGCATTTTGACTTGCAACCAGACTTCAAAAACCCTAGCGTTTGAGGGTGTTTAGGGTTGGGATTTTGGTTCAGCTTATTTATTATAACAGAAGGGCCTTTTGTAAATAGTGGATCTGGATTCGGACTTCAGACATCCACAGAGTTTGGTGGGTTTGGGTTTTGGTGCAAGCCCATCGTTGATTTTTTCCTCTTTAATAAGGAACTTTATCCTCTAGAGCAGAATGAATTTTAATACAGGGTGGGCCAAACATAATCAGCTGTATCGGGGATTTGGGGTATAGGCCAGTGTAAGGTGCTGTTAGTATTAGCTTATGAACTACTGGTTGGTGAAGGAAGTGAGCTGATTCTATTGCATTTTGTAATGTTAAATAATCGGCAGGTGCTCAGAGATTGGCCTGTGCACTTTTTATTATTCTAAATAAAAAGAAAATAAATAATTAAACAAATAACTTCCTGTATAATGAGGATATTCAAACCAGGAATTCAAAGACTGGGGAGTGTTTGCTGGCTAGTCGGTACTTTTGTAAAGTCTGACAAACAACTGGAGTCTGTGTGTGAACAAAAGGGATGTACTTCAGGTTTGTGAGTAAAGGGAATGATGCAATGTACCTCTGTGTCCATGCAGCACTGAAGGACCCTCAAAGATGGACTTTAGTGGCACACAAGCCTTGTTCTGGGTCACTGCACACAGGGAGTTGCACCCTAGGTCTGTATTTATTGTTTTGATGGGGGAACATAAATGATTCTAGGGAAACAACTTCTGAGCCAGCCCGCTGCAAGCTAAACATGTGACGTGCGCAAATTCTGCCTACATTTCTAGACATCTGGGAACCTCTTGCAGAGCACATCCTGGGACCCAATCCTACTCCCATTGAAATCAATGGGAATTTTCCTAATGTCTTCAGATGGAAGCAGAATCAGCCCCGTAACTCACTTCCCAGAGGAGACTGAGAACTGATATCTCTGTTCTCCTTGAAGTGTCATTCTGGGTGTTTTTACCCATGAAAGCTTATGCTCAAATAAATCTGTTAGTCTTTAAGGTGCCACTGGACTCCTTGTTGATTCTGGGTGTTGGCAAGACTACAGTGTCTCCTAATATAATAACCTGGGTTTATTTCTAGTCAAGTGGTTGTAAATAGGATTGTTCTTTATTTGCAATTATATTGATTTGTCTGAGTGCCACCTCTCCACTTGTATGATTAATTTTCCTCTATTCATGTGGTTTTACATTCTAGGTTTTTATCTTGTTTATTCTTTGTGCTGTTAACTTTGCTCCCAGGCCCCTCGAGTGCTGTGGCATTTAGGTTCCACTGAAGTCAAAACAAATCTTGTTATGATTTATTATGACATCAAATTTTCTGAGTCTGTTTCCAGTCTTGGAATGAAAAAAAAAATAATTTCCAGTAACATACATGAAGTAATGGGGCGGTTTGCTAGAGAGCTCTGGGCTTTGGTCTGTATCGGATTTGACGTGTTGTTTTGTTAGGGTTCTCCTTAATGTTTGTATTGTAGATGCCTTGCAGTAAGCATCTTCTGAGTGGATTGATTAAATAAATAAATGAAAGACTATTGCCTCCTGAAAGCCCTCCACTGAAGTGCTGAAGCGTAAAGTGACCTCTGGAGCAATTAGCAGATCTGTAGTTTGAGCAGAGGGTGGGATGACAATTTCCACATGCTGTACATAGGTGGAGAGCTTGTTATTTGCACTATTCCGCCTATTGGAGGATGCCACTATTGTTCCTGACATTGCTGACCATGACCTGTTGCTGGTTCTCTGACAGCAATCCCCTGCCTCTCAAACAGCCCCAGATAAGTGTTATGATGTATTGCTGGATGGACAGGGTTTGCAGTGCCTCACGGTCCTGTTGATACAAAATGCCTTTAAGATCCTGCCTTTCCCATCCTAATCTACAAAGGAAACAGGAAAAAGGAACTTAAACTCCCTGTACTCAGACAGCAATGAGACTGTTGTAGCCTGCTCCAGCACTGCAATTTCTTGCCTCTGACTTGTAAACAAGAGTCCTCGTACCATGCAAGTGAAGAGTAACCAAGGTCTACCCCACTGAAAGGATAATCCCAACCCCATGAGCTGCTGTGGAAACTGGATGGATGTATTTCGGAAAGCATGGACTCTTTAGCACATTTAATTCTCTGTGGATTCAGCCTGATGATTTCAGGTAAGACTTTGCTTTAGTTACTCAGATAGCATTGCTGAGGTGCCATGGCTTTACTGTTTCTCACGCAATGTACAGACAAAAGGGCCTGATCCTAAAATCCAAATTCTGCTGAGGTATCCTTCCTAGCATAATTCTCACATTGACTTCAGTGGGATTATTTACATAAGTAAGGATCTCTCATGTTGGGCGAAGGTAGCAGGATGATGCTCTGATTCTTTGTCAGAGGGTGGCTGAATGCATTTGGGATCTGTAGCTAAATCCTTTTTAATCTAGCTGCTGTTTGTTCACACTTACAAATGCTACAGTGTGGATTCCTCTGCTGAGCCAGTTAACTCTTTCTCTGAGCCAGTTGTTTGGAAATGATCACCACATGGTTTTTTTGTAAAATCTGTTGTAAATGTTGACTCTTACTGTCCACCTCACAAATATAGAGGTGAAACACAAGCTAACTGGTAAAAATCTGATATGTGTTCTATCTAGTATTTATTTTTAGCTAGTCTCTTCCAGCTGCTGAGTCTAGAAACTAATTATTGAACATTGAAGCTTGAATAATATGCATTAAATACAGTGGATTGGTTCATTACAGACACTGTTTAAAAACACGTCTGACTCAACAATATTACTACCCGACATCATTTGCTTGTCTAAATAGTACAAATTGTAAGGTATGGATTTCCCATACCTGGTAAATGTATATTTATGATTTTATTAATGCAAAGTTTATTTCATAGCATTAAGAGCCTTAAGGGTCAGAGATGCTTTACTCAAATACGCATTTTTCTGATAGGTTTCAGAATAGCAACCATGTTAGTCTGTATCCGCAAAAAGAAAAGGAGTACTTGTGGCACCTTAGAGACTAACAAATTTATCTGAGCATAAGCTTTCATGAGCTACAGTTCACTTCATCGGATATCTTCTTTGCATGTGGTTCTCTCTCAGCATTGAAGTATATGGTCACACCACTAGTGTCTCCCTCTGACCTGTTTCTAGGCAATCTCCTCAGTGTAAGATACAACGCATGAACTTGATAAACCTAGAGATGGGCCTCAAACCATCTTTTCTATTCATCCCTGAAAGTGTAGCTTCAGATCTAATTTTTCTGGCTCCAGGCCATCTCGAGATAAAATGGAATGTGCTATATAGCTGCAGACTGCTACAGTAAGAGACAGAAGGTAGTAACAAAAGAAAACAGAATTTTTCACTGCAGTATAACTTATTCTACAATCTCTTGTTCTTAATGGGTTACAAAAATGTTCAGAAGTACAATGAATGGTCAATAAAAGCGTTTGGGGTTTTGAGGGTTTTTTAGTATCTGGAAAGGTCTGTGGCTATCTGCAGGCCAAAAAGTTTACATAAAATGTGGTGAGTGTGTGTATGTATTGTTATATAATTATTGCTGCATTAGGTTGTATATTTGTATTCCTCTTTTGTGGTGTGGATTGCTTGCTTGTTGTAGATGTATAGTGATGTATAGCTTCACAGATTAGCAATAAACATGGACAGTGTGCTCATTTGAGTTCGGCATTGAAGAGCTGCCGGTCACAGCCCTTTCCACAGGACTTGACCAGTTAGGTGTGTATTGTAGTCACACCCATCTCAATAGATCTGTCAGCTTTCCCGCTTTTGTTCAAGTGTGATATCATGTTTCCTGGGGCCAGTGGTGGAAGACAATGCTAATCCCTTTCCTCTAGATATAACAGGCGGAGTTCAGGAAAGCAGTATTGACATTCCCTAAGCAGGGGAGACATTAAAGTCAATGCAACTGGCAGACTGTGAACTGACTTAACCTTGTCCCAAATAGGTGTGGGCTTTTGTGGGTGTGCTGCTGGGTAGGCCAAAAATACTCCACCCTTGTTCCAAGGTGGAGGACCATCCCTCTGGGCTTGACTCCTGGTTACATTAAATGCCCTGTAATTTCCTTTACTTCATCATCATCAACAGCCAAAAGACTTGATTCCCAAAGATGCTGTTGAAGTGAGATATAATATAATGAATGCCTCTCTCCAACAGTACACAATCCAAAGTACATCTCCATTGCACTGACAAAAGGGACAGGTTTAATGCTAGTGATAAACCTGAAGCAAAACCAGGAATGTGAACACTCTTGCCTTCTGTGGAGGTTCTGTTCTATACTTTGCATGTGGCCCTTAGCATCATGATGGGCTAAACCAAAGCCCTGGATCAAAACCACCTCCTCCCCTGACATTTATGGATGTTTGGATTCAATTCCCAATGTCATGGCTTGAGCCCATCTCAGTTTAATTCAGAATGGGAACAGTTTTCACTGCTCTCATCTTCATTTTAAAGGACTTGTTCTTAGGCCTGTTAACAGGATTGTGAACCAGCCTGGGAACTTATTTACAGTCTCTCACACTGGGCTTCAGCAATTTTAGTGTCTGAGCCTCATTTTAACAGCTGTGAGCCTGGAAAAGTCAACAGCAATTAAAAACAAGTTCTAATACATTTTGTCAATTATTGCAGGTGGGAAGCTTATGCATTTTCAGACTACTAGCATGAGCAACATGTGTGAAGATTTGCTTTCTACCAAGCATGAGACAATCCAGAGGGTTCCTAAAACTACTAGAGTTATTTTTGTTGATGTTTATTTCAATCCATATATGGTGAAAAATGACCTTCAAAGGCTTTCAGCAAAAGCATCTTTACAGCATAACTATAATTCAGAGAGAGTGTGTATGTGTGTGTGTATAAAGCTAAACAAATATAATCTAAAAATGTATTACAAACCATATTATTGTATTCTATATAAATAATAACTTTTCATTTTTTTAGTTTAGTAATTATTTTTCATATTTTTTTTTACCCCCCCTTCTTTAAATAATTATTTTTTCCCCCAAAAAATTTACACCCCTCATTTCCTCACCAACAACCTTTTATTCAACAATATTTTCAAGAACCCCTTTACCCCCCCAAATTAAAAAATAACCAATTAAAGGGAGACCAGGGTTTCTGGTCCCTCCTCCCCGGGAGTGGGTGAGTTAGGGTGTCTAACAATTCTTTCTGTCTGCAGCACTTAGATTAGTTACAGCAGGTGGTAGCACAGTGTCCTGGTTCTTTTCTAGTGGCTCCAGCGGTTTCTTCAAAATGTAAACTTTGCCAAAGTGCGCAGAATTTAAACTCTTTGTCAAAGCTAATCCAGAAGTTATGGCTTTGATGCAGAAATCATGGGGTGAAATGCTGTGACCTTCTGGAAAGCAAGTAATTTTATACAGGAGGTCAATCTAGATGATTGTAATGGTCTCTTCTGGCTGTAAAATCTATGAACTATGGCTTTGGGTTTTTTATTAAGTTTGTAGGTATTTGTGTGCAAAGAAAACCTTGCAAATGTGATGTGCTGCACAACTGTCTGACCCTGCAAATAGGCAGTTTGAAACAACAGCCCTACCACTTCAGTCTAGGCTGCACTCAGCCCACAACCTAAGGGGTGGCTCTGTGTCACCTTGGTAGCTATACAGTGCCGCTATGTGTCTACGGTTGGTGTAAGTTAGAGTAGAGCTATTCTGATAAGAGGAGTTCCAGCAGCTAAGGAATAGCTAGAGCATAGAGGCATTGGGCCAGGCCTGAACCCATCAAATCCATAAGAGTGAAAGTGAAATCCCATGATAATCCCAATGAGATGGGCATATTGTGACATGAGTCGAGCTAGTCAGAACATTGTCAACTGAAATTACATTTTGGTAAAAAATGCTGATTCATTGAAGTTGAAACATTTTGCAGGGATGTATCAGTCGCCACCAAGACGTTCTCATCAGGAAAGTTTTGGGTCAAAGAAAGAGCGAGACTGATTATAGCTTGGTGATTAGGGCCTGAGAATGTGGAATATTCAAGTTCCTCCTCTGCTTGATTTATAGTGGTCTGGGATGAAAAACTCTGCTCTGAATCAAGTAGAGCAGGGACTTGAATTTGGGTCTGCCATGCCAGTGCCCTACCCACACATAAAAGAATTTCATTGTGATTCACTGTGATTACAATAACTTCCCTTGACTCTTTTGACATAAGCTTCGTGGCACCTCACTTTATCGGATGCATCCGAAATCATAAAAACCCCCACCCCCCCCTTTTCAACGGCTGCTACTCTGAAACCTGTGATTACAATGAAGCTCACTGGAAAGTGACAGGCTGGAGTGCAGGATCTGCAATGAATCAGTTAAAACACATGTAACTGTTCAAGTATACATTTGTGATACCCATCCTCCAGTTAAGTCTGATAAATCTGTCCCAAACTCAGCAAATACATTAACATTTGCAAGATAAGGGTCAAACACAGAGAAAAGAGCAAGCTCACCAAAAAGGGCTGTATAATTCACCAACATATTTGCAAATCTGTTTTTTCATTATCCACTCAGCTCTAGTTAATGACCAAAGCTTACATTTTAAAAACTGAAATAATTTCAACCATGGGTTTTCTTTTTCACCATGTATTCTGTTTGTTTACTTTTTGCATTTTATTTAGCCTGGAGGGTGAAATTACACTGGGTCAATTTCAGTTTCAGTTTCCAGCAAGTCTCTCTCTCTGGTTCTCATGTGCCAGCAGAATGCAGTTGTGTTCGCCTTTCTGACAATGAAAACCAGTGTGTGCATCTGAAACAACTGTTTTCCTAGGCTTTTCTCTTTTCATGTTGTGGAAACATTTGTATTCTCTCTAGGTTGTGTACTCCCACCCTTTATTTTTAGAAAACTGAAATGTGGGACCTGAGTCTCAATTTATACCAGTGTTTCTTTGAAAATCAATTTAGATTAGTTTTTCCATCAGCTTAAGAGATCACACAGATGACCAATAAAATAGACTAAAGTGTATTGGAAGCCAAGGGATTGATTCTCCTCTTATGTCAGTTTTAGATGAGGATAATAACTGGATTAACATTATGGGAGCTACTCCTGTATTACATCAGAGCAAATGAGATGAGAATCAGACCCACTATGTACAAGTGACACATCATTCACCTTAACTTTCTTCATCGCTGGTTTCAAAATGAGACTGT